AAAAAAAAAAAACTCAATTCAAAAAGAAAAAAAAAAAGTTAGGATAGTGAAACATACAGGACTAAAAATGCATTTTAGTCTAAAATATAAGATGAAATTGAACTATCCATTGAGAAAGTTGTAGTGTAATTTTGATTCAGTAAATCTTTGATTGATGAATTACGCTAGTACACTTTGGGTGTATTGAGTGGGCCAACGGAGGATAAGATTATTCTATATTACCAAGTAAATAATCTAGACCTCAGTAATTGATGTGTTCTTTCAACCCGTAAGACAATCATATATACTCAATACTTATTTGTTTAATTTACCAATGGTGATTCCTATTTTAATTAAGATGACATACTCGGTATTTTGGTAAATAATATTGTTTACATGTTGTGTTGTTGAAATTGTTTACTGTCACTATGTCCCGGTTCGCTGGGTTGATGACGTCCCCGAAATGAGCTCAGGAAGGACTTATTATGTTAAGCCCTGCAGTCGGATTAATTTCTAACATAATAATTAAGAACTGAGTGGTACTAATTTTGGATTTTAACAAAATTAATTAATTTTAATTGTCAATAATAAAATTAATAAATGGACGTTATATCTTAAATATAGAAAGGTAAATGATCAATTAAATTAATTAGGCTATTAATTATAAGGGGCGAATTTTTTTATAAGTTGGAGTTAAATTGGGAGATCAATAATATTACTTTAGCAGAATGTTATATTATTTATTCAAATAAGAAAAATGAATTAAATTATCTTTTAAAAATTTCTTAAGTCGGAGGATCTAGTATCTTCTAGAAAATTACCAAACTTGGAAGACAAGAGGTCTTCTAGAAAGGTGATAAAGTTGGAATGCATTAGGACTTCTAAAAGGTTAAAGAGTTGGAAGACATAATATTTTCTAATCCTATTTCGAGAAACCCATATTTAGCACCTCCATTAGGGTCTCTAATGTAGCCTATAAATATACCAAATCCCAACACCTCCTCCATACTTTTATGACATCCGATTTTTAGTCTTGGAAAAGAGGGAAAAAGAAATGGAGTGAAATAGTTAAGAGGTTTTGGGTTTAGTCGCACAACCAAGACTATTCGAAGTAGCTATAAGGGTAATACATTAGAATATCATAAGGTATAATATTTTGAGATCCCGACGAATATATTATGACCGGAAAAAATATTTCGGCGACCAACCTTTGGCCATCGGAGATCATCCACGGCGACTAACCAACCATCACACGTAAGCCCCGGCGACGCCTAGTCCCAGCCGCGGACCACCCAGCAACGTTCGTGCCCGTGCAGCGATAAACATCGTGAAGCTCGACGCCCAACGACTACCCGTACGACCCGCTAGGACTTTGGCCAGTGCCTGACGTGCATGAACTCCCCGCAACGACCCAACGCACACGCCAGTGAGACCCGCGCCCGCACCTACACAGGCAGCGCCAGACGCGCAAGCACTCGAGGCAACGCGCGACGTGACCCTCGCGACCCAAACAACTCCTGACCGATTCCCGACCAATGATCAACCGAAGAGGCCAAGTCCGGTTGCCTAACGGACTCTGTGAATCAGACGATCTCCTACAGAGAAAATCTACAACGTCTCAGAGTCGGTAAAATTTTAAACCGTAAGTCCTAATCCTAACTGTAGATTTCGCTACGTTAGGACTTAGTTCGTTAGATTCAGATGTGCATATCGATGACGTTCCTCATAGAACCCAACAGTCTGGTGAAGTTGTTGACCTCCTCTACTTTGAGTAGGATCGAAAACATCTTTATACGGATGCTCATGGAGCTCCTCTTTTTCCTCAAATTGTAAGCTCTCGTGGATGTCCTAAAGATGTGTTGGACCGTCTCGGGCTCAACGTGATTGGAAAGACCCAAATGTCCGGGTATACCGTCTGTCTTTGCGTCGGAAATGGAGGTCTGCTCGAAGAAGATGCGCCTACATTTTTACGCTTTTGTGGTGGTCGATCACCGACACGACTGCTACGAGCACCCGACATTATATAACTTGAAGATCAGATTTTATTAAAAAAAAAATAGAGGTAAAAATGATAGAATTTAAAAATGAGAGAATATAATAAAAAAAATTTATAGATCCGAAACGAGAGTGAATTTATAGAATCGAAACTGAATATAGAGTTGGACCGGTTTTATAGCAAACCGAGCACAGAAACTCAAAATAGCATCTTAAGAACTTGGAAATGAGAATAGAGTGAATGAATGTTGTAATTGGTTCGGACCTAAAATCGTCTTTAATTATATATGTATAGTCTATAGAACATTCGGACCTAAAATCGTCTTTAATTATATATATATATATATATATATATATATATATATATATATATATTTAAATCTGACCCTTGGATCTTCAATGGTCAAAAAGATCCAACGACCCAAATTCAATCTGGCCGTCGGGCCGCCAATAGTCATTCGTGGTTTCGGGCCAGCCCGACCCAGTCCAAACTTATATTAAAAAATAAAGAAAAAAATAGAAAAATGGCAGGCCGTCTCCACGTTGGTTCCAAGCGAACCTGAATTGGCCCGACGATTTGGTGGCCTGGTCCTAATCCGGTCAAACTATGTACTCACTTCAAAGCCCGTTGACCACGGACTCGAACCGACTGGCTAGGCCGTCCGTGGTCATGTCTATACTGAATACATCTACTGGGAAGTGAACTAGTCATTGTATCAACCCCAGCAAACAGAGCTTGATAAACATAATTAACTTCACGAAGGATTATGTAAAAACGGAGAATGATACACTTCCAATGCTTAAAAATTGAAAAATTATGTCAAAGTGTATTGAGAACCAATTTAGCCTGACTCTCACTTGTTCATTTTTCATTTTCGGCCTTTTTTTTATTAGAAAGTTTTTACACCCAGCAAGGTTAAGGCCTATAGGATAGCAGGACCATAAAACTTTAATTAAGTGGTATTTCATTAAAATTTCCCTTACCAATTAAGCAATCAAATGTCACTCCTGAAATTAAAGCAGCAGAAGCAGCCCGAGTGTCCGAGAGTTGTATGATTGCTGAAATTACAAAAGTAAATGACATTCTACACATGATAGAAGATAAACATCCAAGAAAAGTAGTGCGAAAGCCACAAAACGAAAAAGTTATTCTTCACTTCAACTACAACTTTGAGACACCACAAAAAAGAAAAAAAAATCTCGAACATCTCTCTTTAGGCCTGCAGCACAAAAAAAATGAATAACAGAAAGTTAAAACCAACTAAGGTGGGTACATGATAAAGAGAATTGTTCTAGTAAAGCCAATCCCGACCTTGTTAGCAATGTTGTTGGACAGCCAATCGAGGCCTTCATACAGCCCTTCCCCAGAGGTTGCACATGTGCTCTGAATATACCTGCGATACAATTCCATTAAGAAAAGCTTTAAATATTACATATACATTATATATATTTTGTAATATATACATATATAGAGAAAGAGAGAGTACCAATGACGTTGTCGGAGAGAGTGAAGTCCTAGCTTGTCAGTTATCTCAGCAGCATTCATAGCATTAGGAAGATCTTGTTTGTTAGCAAAAACGAGTAGCACAGCATCCCTTAGCTCATCCTACAAAGAGGGGCGGCAGTTTTTTGACAATGACAAAAGATAATCTAAAATTCCTTGTACAATCAGAACAAGTAAATAGTGATGTGGTAGTGGCAAAGGGTCACGTAAAGGTTTTATTTTTACTTTGTTGTTCCTTGTCGGGACTTTGTAAATTGCAAAAATTTTTGACAAATATATCCAACCTCATGGTTTAAACAGACTTTAAACTGCACATTGCACATGATGGAAAAATAAACAACTAACCAAAATTACAAAAAACAATGACATGCTGGGATCTTACTACCTCATTTAACATCCTGTGCAGCTCATCCCTGGCCTCTACAACACGGTCTCGGTCATTACTGTCAACCACGAAGATCAGCCCCTGTGTATTCTGAAAGTAATGCCTCCACAGTGGCCGGATCTAGTAGTAGTATAAAAAAGAATGTCAACTGCAGCTTAAGATGATCAAAATAACAGGAACCGGGCTTTAAGTTATCATGAAACACCATACAGACAACTTCTCAAAAGTTCAAAATACAAAACATAAAAACAAAGGAAAGAAGTAAAAAAGAAAGACACAAGTTACCCACATATATAATTAATTGCAGCTAGCTATGTTGCCTTAAAATAAAATACAAACTAAGAAATTAGAAAACTTTAAAACATTAAAAAGCTTCTTATACCTTGTCTTGACCCCCAACATCCCAGACAGTGAAGCTAATGTTCTTGTATTCCACAGTCTCCACATTGAATCCTGGAGGAAAAATCGAACAAGTAACAAAGAAGTGAGTATTCTGCAGTGTTCTAAAAGTTGTTAGGCGCTCGACCAGCGCCTAGAGCGCCTAGGCGGGGCCTAGGCACGCTAGTCGGGGCCTCGAAATCAATATTAAATACCATATATTATATTTATTTTAACTACCTACAAAATAAAATTATCTCAACTTATAATAGATCGACACACCTAAGTCCAAATAATAAAATTAGTATATTTCAAAGAAAACATGAGAACAAAATAATGTAATTAGTATTTAAAAATATTAAAAAAAATTAAAAATTGCCGCCGAGCCCGCCTAGGCGCCGCCTAGCTGCCTGGCCGATTTTTTCTGCCGATTTGTGCAAATCGTAGGCGCTAGGGCACTGCCTAGCGCCTAGGCCGATTTTTAGAACAGTGGTATTCTGTGCATCGCCGTACGAATGATGGCAAGCACAAAATGACATTATACTCAAACATCAGCGAAAATGAAAATTGAAAATAAAAATCAATGCACGGAAGACAGGAAAATCAACAAGTTCATTCATTTTTAAGGACATAAAATGCTCACTGATTTCTGAATTCCACAAATTTCAATAAACATCAGCAAAAACAAGAATAATATGTAAAGTACTAAGGGACTTATAATGATGGTGTCTAAATGCTACGATTTTTCATAAATCAACAACAACAACAACAACATAGCCTTTTAGTCCCAAACAAGTTGGGGTACACAAATAAAAAATCTACTTCGTCAAAAAGGTAAACATTATTTGATGACTTAAACCATGTGGTACTCATAATTAAAGTATCACACAAGAAGAGTGATGACTAGCAGTATGTATACCAATACCAAGATAATTTGACAGCATACGAATTACATAAAAAGTTTACCAATTGTAGGGATGGTCGTCACAATCTCTCCAAGCTTGAGTTTGTACAATATGGTGGTCTTACCAGCAGCATCAAGACCCACCATAAGAATACGCATTTCCTTCTTGGCAAACAGCCGGCTGAAAAGCTTGGTGAATGACAACCCCATTGTCTTCCTTACTACACAACTACAAATCAATTTCGCACTACTCATTATATGAAAGGAAGTTATAGAATCTTCCCTTCAATATGAAAGATCCATAAGAACATGTTGAATGAGAAAGCATGTCAACTTCATCAGTCAGATTACATCATCATTTACATATTACCCGAGTGAGGGCCAGAAAATCGGATAAGTGAGGAACTGCTCAGGATGGATTAAAGACCAAAAGACTTTTTATGGTATCAAAGTCAATGAAACTTGTAAATGGAATTTCTGAAAAGGGCTACTACACTGACTAAGATTAAAAGAGCAGAGTTCTGCATATTGCATCGAAATAAGATTCATGATTCACAAAGGGTATCATCACCACTCAACCATTTGAGTACTGAAATTGAGTATATCTTGACAAGTAACGAGGTAAGAACACACATCAACACTTTCTTATGATTCCAAGAGTAGTTACAAAACAATCAGACCCATAATAATCCATTCAACATCTAATAATATGATAAAGTTTACTAATTTCATCGAAGTTTAATTCAAAAAAAAATATTAACATTTCTACATTGTTTCTGATTCCTCTGCTAAACATAAATCAACCAGGCTTCAAAGAAACTCAACCATTAAAGAAGAACAAACACATGCAGTCACATATCCAGTGCGTACAATCAGACAAACAAAAAGCAGATCGATCGATCTTGCACGAGCTAAGCATCGTAACAACACGAATCACGAATTAACAAACAAAATACTCGATTGTAATCAAATCGACGATACATATGTCCAGATCTGACAATTTCACTTGCAGTAATATTAAATATATGAATAATTGCTGATAGATAAACCATTAGAGAGGTTACCAGATGAAAAACAGGAAGAAGAGCAATCGGAGAAGAAGAGAAGGGGGCAGATCTGGCTGCCCTCAGAGACCGTATATGCTGCTGGATGGGAAATCTTAGGAATATAATGAGAGTTGGGTGATATTATACATTCATTTGTTTTTACCTATTTCCTGATTTTGGAATATTAGTAAAGTGCGTTTAAAATCTCAATATTTTTTTGGTATTAATCAATATGATGTATAACTAGTACAACACCCGTGTATTACACGGGTGCTTGCTAATTTTTTTCTTAAAATTTAAAATTAATGAGAAAAAGTAGTTTGAAAATTTAAATACCTTTTATAAGAATATATATATATATTATATATTTATTATGATACTTTTTATTTGTGCGACTTACTTGTGTTATATTATACTAATTCTTTAACTTACACTATATAACTACATTAAATATAAATATAACAATTGAGAAATAATTTTATTTTTCTAATGAATTTTAATAACTATTATTATTTTTTATTATTATAAAGATAAATATAATTTATTTATTTTATATATACAATATGGATGTCAAATCGAAGATCATCAAAAGATGATTAATTTGATATATTATATATGTAAAACCGATAAGAAATACAAAAGTTATATACTTTTAAAATACATTTATAATTCAATAGCTTATTGAAGGAAGCAAATCAAAATTTAGGGATATATTAGTCACTTAGTGTCTCAATATGTAAAATTACAATTAAAGGGTTATATTAGTAAAAGTGATATTAAAATACCTAAGTTAGCTAAATAATATTTATGGAATACCCGAACCTAGATTATTAATTATTAATATATTAATATTATTTGTCCAAACCTAATTACGAAGCATGATTTTTCGCCAAATAGGATTCCGAAGCACCAGAAGCAGCCACGTAGGCTCAGCGCATTCTGCAATTATATATAGGGAGGATGTGAACAAATTCATTTAGATTATTTGATGACTTTTTTGGTAGGAAACTAGTGTGTGCCTCGTGCGATGCACGAAAACAATATTAAATCAACAATATTATAAATAGACCTCGAGTTTGAGTCACTCAATGGCGGAAGTGGAAACTACTATTGATCCTATTTAAAAAGAAAAAAAAAAATTATAAATTAAATAGGAGGATAAACAATACTTAATAATTATAAATTGAAGATTTGGGGTCAAACAATATAAAATTATTTTGTATAAGAGAATATAAAATTTGCATTATTTTGTATAAGAGAATATAAAATTTGGATGTTCTTTTAATATTAAAATACCTAAAATATTAGTATATGGAAAAGTATTCAAAATTTTTTATATTATTTTTGAAAGATGTGAAGTCACCTACAACTTTTCTAAATAATTTTAGAAAGAAAATATATCTAAAAACATTTAAATTTATTATTGTGCAAAAAAGAATTTTCTAGACTATTTTGTGAATAAAACATGTCTACATATTTAAATTTAATATCAATTAGGTATACGTGTGTGTATATATATGTATATATAGACGAATATGTAAAAAAAATGTCTAACCATTTTGTTTAAAGTATCTAAAATATTATAAGCCTAATTTAATAAAGACATTCAGATGATACTGAATTTATAGTATTTTCATTTAACAAAATTTGATTACACATAATTTTAAAATTATTATTATACTTTTTATGTTGTTATCAAGGATATATTGCTAGTTTATAATATTTGTAAAAATATTAGTAAGGAAATTTTTTTAAATCTGTATAGATAAGGGATGAGATCTTTTATTTTTTTATAAATCTGTAGATAAGGGAAAGGATGAGATCTTTTAAATATTTTTAAATCTATAGATAAGAGATGAGATTTTTTAAATTGCGAGATAAGGATGAGATTTTTTAAATTGCGAGACGTGTACTGGGTTACAGATGAGAGATAAACTAGTGTAGATTTACGTTAGGCATAAACTTTATTGGAATTGGAAACGATTTTAAAGGCAGAAAAAAAAGAAGAGAATAACAAATTTCTACCCTAAAAATCAGTCGATTTGTTTCCTTATTCAAAATTGTTGGACACTTACTATTTTTTAGGTTACTTTTAATGAAATTGGCGGGTGAACTTATCTAGATAATTGGCAGGTAATGTAGATAAAATTGGCGAGAAACTTCTAAAATGGTTATTCTTTTAATATAATCAATACACGGTGTAACTCTTTTTGTAATGTGCATGCCAATATTGGTTTTTAGGTGTGAGTTTCATTTTTACCTTAGTTTTCGTACGAAATTAACATAATCAAATTATCGTAACTCCGACAAAATAATATGAACGATTATTTTGATATAATTTGCGCGTATCAATGTTTATAGAAAAAATATGGTCAAATTTTTTTGTATAATTAGTGGGTCTCAATTTAATTCTTTTTTTTACGACATTTTAAATAGTTTTCGTGTGAAATGAATTGTTCATTTTTTTTAGTATGATAAAGAGTGTTGATTTTTTTGGCATAAAAAATCTTATGACTGATTACTTTTTAATCAACTACTTAAATTTTTTAATTTGGATATTTTATACAAAAGTAAATTTATTTTGATTAATGAAACAATATAAGTTTTATATTTATACTTATTATTCACATAAAATTTTAAATATATGATAAAATTTTATCAAAATAATTATTTGATAGAATCAAGTTATAGTCAAATTGAATTTCGGAATAATTTTTTTGAAATGACACATATTTTAAAACGAAAATAATATAATTTATTATCAGTTATGCGCAACGCACGAGTTGTGCACTAATTTTAAGTAGATATTTTTATGTAATTTTGCAAATTTTAAATTTTATATAACATTTTCAATAAATTAATATAGATACATTGTATTACATATTGATTCGATGTTTTTCATCTATAAATATTATTTAATGATAATTTTTAATTTATAATTAATAATGAATATATCTTATCCGTACATCGCACGAGATCTGTACTAGTTTAGTAGGAAAAACCCTTTGTATTATATAAATTTTTGGATGATACAATGTCTTTATTTTGTATATTTACCAGATTTCTTTTCAAATTAAAATTCAAAAAAAAAAAAGAAAAATATAGAATTGGGCATCAATTGTGTACCCCCATTTTAAGTCATTTGTACCACGCGAAAAACAAACACAGTTTTCCACTTGAAAAGGCAAAAGCAAAAGCTGAGCTCAATTTGGTCTTCAACTTTAACTATGATCTCTGCTTCACAATATTCCTTCTCTCCTTTACTTTACCTCATTGCCATTATTCTCTACAATCCGCAATTAGCTTACTGCAATTGCAACAACCCGCCGGTCATCTTCAACTTCGGAGATTCCAACTCTGACACCGGCGGTCTCGTTGCCGGCCTTGGTTTTCCGGTCAAGTTTCCTAATGGCCGGGCCTTTTTCGGCCGGTCAGCCGGCCGCCTCTCAGATGGACGCCTCATCATCGATTTTCTATGTAAGTGTGTGCCTGTTTTCCTTTTTTTTTTATTTTATTTTATTTTTTTGGTATTTTTGACTCAATGGCGCATTTGTCTGCAAGTGTTACGGTAGCAAGTTTGGTTTTAGATTTAGATTTTGATTTTTATTACTATTAGTTAGAAAATTTTTATTCTTTCAATATATTTACGCACATTTTAAATTCAAATGCTATATCCATAATAGAATAAAAAAAAAATAAAAATAAAAATGCTTTATATGATATGTTGTTAACTATTATTACACCGTAAATTATGTTATTTGACATTTCAAAATGTTACTCGGTTCAGTGATTTTGAATCATATTTTGTTGATTTCTTTTATTTATTTTATTTGGGTTATTGTCTTATTGATCCCCCAAGTTGAAAACTTGTAGAATTAGTCTCGATTAGCAACTAATTTATCATCAATTATACTTATTTAGACAACAGTATGATATATAAATTAGTACTCGATTAAGTACATATGCACAAGTATAAATATATACTATAAATATTTCTATTTATGTAATATTTAAAATTGCAAATTAGAGAGTGGACATATTATATTTATAAATTTGATCATTAGTAAAAATGAAAAATATGAATATAAATTAATTAACTTACATATTGAATCCTTGAATCAGAAATACTACCGTCCCCTTACGCAATCATACAATCCCCCCGTTTTTTAACCTTAGATTATCTATCCTACACTATCTATATGAGTATCTACGGTTAAAAACCCAAACGAAATGGTTTAGTATCACCCTGAATCTCAATATGATAAACAGATCTTCAAAAACTACAAAATACTTATTAAACACTAACAAGGACTCTTATTCTTATAGAAATATATTTGCATGTCATTCATGCTTCCGTTTACTTAAAATTTGTCAAAGCATATGGAAGAACCCGACTCTGTTTGTACTCTTAGGCAATTTTGGAATCCAAAAAAAAAAAATATATATCTATATCTATATATATACATATATATTAAAAACAAAAAGAAAAATATTTGAAACGTAATAATTAACAATTTTGTCCTGTAATTGCTGTGGGCGTACTTGGTACAAGCAACTAGTGAGTTAAATGTCTTGCTAAATTTTGCAGGCCAGAGTCTGAACACGAGCTTCCTTAGACCATATCTCGACTCGTTAGGTTCAAACTTCGACTCGTTAGGTTCGAACTTCTCAAATGGAGCCAACTTTGCTATAGTAGGGTCGGCCACGCTGCCTAGGTATGTCCCATTTGCACTGAATATTCAGGTTATGCAGTTCAAGCATTTCAAGGAACGCTCAACCGAGCTTGCTGGCGCCACAGGTACTCTCGCATTTTCTAAACGAACAAGGGATATTTTGATTTTTCACGAATTTTTATTTGAAAATTCCGTAGAAGCGTATATAAATATTACTGCTTATTAACCTTAAATGTTGAATAAAACAGAAACTGGAGAGGGGTTTTCACAGTTGTAGAGATTAATATGATCCCTTTAAATTTAGAGCTTTATTTAATTTTGAAGTGATTCGACATTTGTGCTACATGCGTGTAGGTATTGCCCGTTTGGTAGGACCATTAAGTCCCGACAGGTTCCAAGATGCTCTTTACATGATTGATATTGGACAAAACGACATTGCTGATTCCTTCGCTAAGGGCCTATCCTATGTGCAAGTGGTCAAAAGAATTCCTTCAATATTAGCAGAAATTGAGAATGCTGTGAAGGTCAGCTCACCCACAGCTGAAACACAATCCCACATATAAAAGCAAGTTTAAATTATGACACACTTATCCTAGCATTACCCCTTGATGCTATGTACCTATGATCGGATTTTCTCTGAAACAACCAGTGTTGTTTTTCGAAAATCTTTCCTCAGACATTCATATTTGTGTTTCGTGATTATATATGTAGGAAATATACGATGAAGGAGGCAGGAAAATCTGGGTCCACAACACTGGGCCTTTGGGCTGTCTGCCCCAAAAACTAAGTTTGGTACACAATAATGGTTTGCAGGGCCTCGACTCATACGGCTGTATGAAAGGCTACAATGATGCAGCAAAGTTGTTCAACGAAGGCCTACGCCATGCGTGTGAAGGTTTAAGAACCGAGATGAAGGACGCAACCATAGTGTATGTGGATGTGTATGCCATTAAGCTCGATTTGATTGCAAACTCCACCAACTATGGTAAGCTCATAATTAAATCCCCAATAAATATCATATGGGAAGCCCGTTTGATTTGTAATGTAGTTGTACCGTTGATGATCAATTCCATCTCAAAACCATCCCCAGGTTTCTCGACTCCATTGATGGCGTGTTGTGGCTCGGGTGGACCGCCTTATAACTATGACAGGAAGGTTTCGTGCGGGTCCCCCGGTTATCAAGTATGTGATCAAGCGGCTAAGTTTGTGAGCTGGGATGGTGTTCACTACACCGATGCAGCCAATGGCCTAATAGCCTCCAAGATTCTTTCCGCAGAATATGCGACTCCACGGGTTACATTCGACTTTTTCTGTCAATGATTTGAGATTTCAAGGATAGGGTGATGCCTGGCTTTGATGGTACAAAAATGGAATATTGTAAGAGTAAACAAAGAAGAAAGAAAAAAAATATTAATCATAATCTATAACTTTCTTAAAAAGAAGAGGAAGAGTAGTGTCTTAAAAGCTTTTGAATTGCCGAGAATGTCTTCATAAGATATGTTTTAATGTTATTAATGTAATTTTCTTATTAATGTCCTGCGGATGTCATGTCTGGTTCTTGCTCGACACTCAGTTGTTTCTGCTTTCAGGATTTATTTTCGCTCGCAATACTCAACTCGTCTATTTCTTTATTTAGTGATCATATCTAGTTCTGGGCCACCTGGCTCAGCTCGGATGTCAACAACTTAAATTTGACATAATTTTTATGAACATGTTATTTGTATAAATATATGGGAAATGTATAGATAAATCCCCAATCCTAAATTCATCTTCTCATTCAGTCCCTAGTGAAAAATTTTTCCATTCAACTCCCTAGTCAACAACTTTATGGTCCCCTCTA